GTGTCAACGACAAAACTACACCAACACATTCACACACACACACACACGAACACAAACAGATATTCTCGCTTATATACAATAGCAAAGAGCTTTCACGAGGTTCGAAGTGCTACTCTCCTACACGTTAGCATACACACACACACACACAGGCGAAATATACTTACGTATATATATATGTATATGTAGCTTATATTTACTGTACTTGCGCGCGGGCTTATATAAAACTGGTTTGTCGCCGTGTTGCTCTCGCTGGCTTCACTGTCGATTCATTCGTGCGTCGAACGTTGGACCGTGCGGTTCGTTGTGCGCTTGTGGCGCCTTAACAAAAAAAAGAAGAAAATACAATCAAGTGAAAAGAATACAAACCAAAGGAGAGCACAGAGAATAAAAAAAATCCGTTGTTGCTAACGTCGAAAATAGTCAAATAGTGTGTTGCGCGACGGTTGGTGGTGGTTGTGTTTCAGCAGCGCAACGCGCGGCGCTTTCTTGGTGGTGGTTTTTTCTAATGAACTTTGCCAGAAGAATACGAAGACTATTCATGTGTATGCATATGTGTGTGTGTGTACGATTTACACCATGATGTGTATCATGTGAGCAATATAAAAACTGAGGGGGCAAAAACGTGTATAAAACGAAATTCGCAAAAAGACAAAAAATTAAATAATAAAAAAAAGCCCGCGCATTACGTAAAATTCGCGCCGCTTTTTTCCTTTGAATACAAGCGAAAACAAGAAAAATAAAATAAAATAGATGTCAAAAGAGAGGTGACTTTCTGCGGAAAAAAGCTGCTGCTAAGAACCAGGAACTTGAATGACACATTTTCTGAATCGAGCGACAATTACGCAACTTGCAAATGGCGTTGAGAAGAGAGTAAAGGGGAAAAAGAAGAGTTGCCATCTCGCTTGCTCCTTTGATTAAACACATTTATTCCGACATGTTTGAATGGCCTTTGCAATGTGCTTTTTATATTATCGGATGACGGCAAGTCTGGAAAATATGTGTACATGTGTGTGTGTGTGTGTGTGTATATATGTACTTGATTTCATATTTCTTCACCTAAATTCGAAAGAGAAAAAAGCTCCGGGCAAACGTCAAAAATTTATGAAACACCAAACACACGCACGCACACGTACACATGCATACATACATACGCGAATTCTAACGAAGTGCTTTCGTACGCTCGTTCGTTAAGTTGTCTTTCGTCGAGTTTCGCTCGTGAGTTGCTTTCGGCAGTTGCTTTGTGTTTGCTCGCGCCATTTGCAGCTGTACAGCGAACAAAGTTGGCCGCGTTTCTGGCGTCGCAAGCTCCGTCTACGTACATATGGGAAGCGTTACAGAAATCTAATGGAATTTTTTTTCGCTCGAGCGCGCCACTTGTGCTTTTTTCCGTGTATTTATTTTACAAGTTTTTTCCACACAATTTGCTGCTGAGCGATTTTTTTAATCAACGTACTGCAACCTATGTGGGAGCGAGACGGGGACTCACTGTGCTTTTTATATAGTCAGTCTTTTTCTCTCTCCTATACAAATTGCGGGCGTATCAACATGTTCGATCGCCGATTATACTTTCCCCATCCTGGAATTGGAATTGTGTCTGCATTGGAAAATGTGATCTTAGCTATTAAATAGTGCCTACTCTTAAGATTGGAATATTTATACATTGTTCTGTAATTCTATTTTCCCCGACATGAAATTCAAATAAAAAAAAATTCTCTTTCAAAGAAGAACAGCCTCTGGAAACGTTTTCTTTTATTACACATTTTATCATTCCCCCACCAAAAACACACGCATGCATATTTCTAGCTCTGTCGCACTCGCACGCATACGCTTTATCAAATGGTGTACGCTTTTTCCACGAACGAGAACTGGCGACGCAAGCGAATGAAACCGTTACGACTACTGACTATGAACAGAACAAACGGCCGCGCAGTCTGTTTCTGTTTTTTTTTTTCGTCTTGTTGCTAAGTCAGTCAATGAGACATGTATGTGTGTATGTGTGTTTTTCTGTTGTTTGCATGAAGAAATGAAACGACAGTGGGCAGCACCGAACTGGGAAATGATAATTTCATTTTCTAGTTTCTGAAGAGCAAAAATTAGGCCACTTTACATGTGTGTATGTGTATATGCGTGAGTGTGTGTGCGCGTATGTGTGTGTGAGTGTGCATTTTATCGACCACGAAAGCTGATTAAGAAATCAAATGGTGGGCACAGTGGACTTGAAAAGCTTTTTGGAACAAGTTGCTGTTAACACAAACAAACACCTGGCACAATGTCCAATTAGCGAAATGATGCTAAACGTGCCAGCGGTAGCACAAACCGAATCAAACTCGAAATGGAGGCAATCTTTCATTATGCATTTGAAAATAAACAGGCCTTTTACTCCCCCCATGTCAAATACGATGCTCTCACCCTGCTGACAGGTGAGAACACTGAGCATAGGAAATTCTATATATTTTTCTTCCTTTTTTTATTTGGGGGTGCTTTAGAGAATATACACACATAAATATGTATATTATGAGGATGAGTATGAGTATGAGTATGTAAATGGTGGATGATGATGCGCCCAACGGATCGCTGATCATGCGACCAGGCAAGCACTATAATAGAGGCGGAGACTATTTTCTATACACAAAGATACGTATATATTTATACCGCCCTCAAAAAAAAAATGAAAAAATAAAATTGTATTCCCAGCAATTTGTGTACAATGACTAAGAAAAATGCGGTTTGTATAGAAAATGCATTTGTTTGAGTTAGTTTTTATTGTTTTGATTGCTGCTGCTGCTGCTGCTGCTGTCATTTGGCTGTCTGGTGATGCAATTTTCCTGTCTAAATTATTTAGAAATTATATAAAGTGCTTTGTTTAAGGTTTTGCGCCAGGTAGTCATGGGACAAATGTGCTCAGCCCATTAAAAGCCGCATCCAAATGGAACGAATTTGCATATTTGAGCTGAGGTGGACGATTTCTGATATTGGCATTAGAATACAGCATTAGAACTCGATGGATGTATGAGTATCATGGCTAATAAACCTTTCATCAATATCACTAAAAATATAAAGCTACACAAAACGTATCTGTTTTGGAGTATTTCATTTCAACAAGTTCTTAAACTTGAATCTTTTCATATAAGCCCAGGCAATATTGAGAGTAAGGGTCAGGAAAGTCGTACAATTGAAGACTACAAAAGGTTTTAGCAATCCTTAAATGTTGTAGAAAGGCAATTAGTAAAAAACATAAATACAACATTTAATAATAATAATATATATATATATATGTGTAGTAAAGAAATGCCTAATATATATAATATATATAATCTTATAAATATAAAATAGTAAAATGAATTCGTTGCAAAGTTCTGCTCTTTCGAATAAATATTATGAAAAATTCAAACTAACAAAATTTGTAGATAAATAATGCTCTATGCAGTATATGAAAGATGTACATCGAATATAAATATACTAAATTGTACCGATAATATCAAATTGCATTCAGCAATGGCGAGAAATAAATATATTTTAATAGTCTTGTGCATTTAATTGCTGTAAACACATATACAATATAAAATATATCCATATCGGCAATGCGATCCATTGCCATTCATATATATATATATATATATACATATACATATATATACATATACATATATATAGCGACTTGAATGTGCTTGAATTATTAGCAGTTTGCGACAATAACCACAAACAACACAGCAACAACAACAGCAACAATAATAGCAAAAGCAGTTTAGACACAGGCAAACAAGTTGCCATGAAATCACGTACATATATCGTTTGTTTCTATTGCTATATAGACTACAGTCATGTATAATTAATATAGCACAATCGGTGTATGTATGTTTGTTTAATTGTACATTTTGCATTCAAGCTTGGAGTTTCGCAACAAAGTTTGCTGTGGGATCGTTCACAGATTACGGGGTCATAGAGTCTAAGGTCTCAAAGCTGTGTGTGAAGGGTTGGGCAGAGGGGGAGGGGGAGGGTTGTTCCCCCCGCACACCAACAAAGTTTCACAGTGGCGCAGGCCCCGCTGACCTTGGGCGCAGCAACTTTAGTTAATAAAATAAAATCCGAACAGACAAATGAGCAAACAGCTAGAAAGACAGACAGATCTGTCTATATGCAGAGAGGTGTGTGTGTGTGTGTGTGATAAGTATGTATATACATCTATACATACATACATATATACAGACAGTTAGTCATTGGCAAAGCGCAGCTTTCAACTCCATGTTTCACATTTCGTATTCTACAGCAAAATAAACTTATTGGCCAGAGAGAGAGAGAGAGAGAGAGCGATAGAGAGAGCGAGTGAGAGAGAGAGAGCGCGAGATGACGCCATTTTGTAGCTGTCTCTGTATCTGTATCTGTATATATCTATATGTGTTTGCAGCTAGATATTTACATATCTGCCGCTCAATGACGACAACTCCGATGAGCCATGAAGGCCTCTCCACTTCCCAAGCGTACCACAATTTTGATCTTCTGTAATTATAATCCTGCTTCGCGCTCTCCGATTTCACATACTTCATAAATCTCAAATGCTCTTCGGCTGTTAGCTGTATCTTGCATCTTGAACGTTTCTATTCTAACACAAAACGCTCACATTTTGGCATTTAATAAGAAGTTGGCCTTGAAGCGACGAGTTGTGCCTGTGTGTGTGTGTGTGTGTGTGTGTGTGAGCCGCTTCGAGCGGCTCTTTGTGTGTGTTTCTGACTGTGGGATCAAATATACCTACGTGTAGAATAAACATAAATATACGACTATAGCCAAGCGTCTAGACTTTGATAAATGGGATTAGATGGCCAGCAACTGTTGATTCTAGCAACCAGTTATCCAAGAAAACATGATCTAAACTCGACTCTTTTGGAGACACGCAAATGTGTGGAGCTCATTTGGATGTCTGTACTCAACTCAAGCCACAGACAAAAAGCATAATATTCTTGATTCAAGTACAACACGTAGTAAAAGATACAAAACGCTGCAGATCTCATTTCAGTAAGTTTCTTTTATTTCTTTTTTCTTATTTTTAAGAACGCATTCTTCGTGTTGTAGTTTGATCAATACTAATTTCAAATTCTTAATTTCATAATGTAAAATATAATATTCTCTTTGGTCTGGGTTAATCTGGGGGGAAAAATCTTAAATCAATAATCAATCAATCTTGGATTGAGAAAGTTTTCTCTTGTGGATCGCACAACTATGAAATGAGTTATTTGAATTGCTATTTTTTATATGTAGGAATAACTTCTTCAGGTTATAGACTGATGAAAGATACATTTAAATTGTCAATTTACAATTTTCTAATATAGTCTGATTGATATGCAATGTATGTATTTACTAAAAAAGTCGTTAGCTTTTGTTGTGATTGTAAAGAAATAATTTTCTCAAAGGAATTACTTTAAATTTGTCTATTGTCGTTTATAGCACACAAATGTATTTTTTTTTTCGCTCTATGGTATACTTTTAGGCTTACTAGATAGCCAAGAAGATATATATATATATATATGTATATAGGATATTTATATGCATGCTTATCGTCCCCAAATCTCGACAAGATCCTTGATGCCAGAGCCACGTTCCGAAGTGAACACAATGGTGGCACCCTTGGATCCAGGTCCGCCGGAGGTTAAAACGGCTGTGGCACCATTGCTCTTCTTCTTATCGGTGACTTTAATGGCCGTGATTGTCAAAGCATTGAGGTCATTCTACGAATTGGAGAACGGCCGTAAATATAACGAGACAACTGACATTAATGGCCAATACACGCACCTTCTGCTTGAAGACATATTTCTTCGTCTGCACCAGGCCGACAAAGAAGGCCTTCGAGACGGTGTCCTTGGCCAGATGATAGTCATTGGGCCCAATCTCACCCCACAAATAATCGTTGCCACCATAAACGGACGTAACCAGGGCACAGCAAATGAATAAGCCTAGCAGCGTAACGGTATTTATGGTCTTAGCCATGTTGCAATCAATAACAAACCACTTGAAATCAAAATATGCCTCAGCGCAATTTCGCGTTTGCCCTTTTATTGCAAAAATAAAGAATGTAGCTCCTATCTGACTGTTTATCAGTCGCCCCCAAATACCTCCAAATACAACTATTTTGTTGTTACAATTATTAGATTGCGCTTTCTTGCACTCTTTTTAATTATTTGAGCCAAGCTATCTATCTCGTAATATCTCTCCAAAATTCCATATACTCGTGTGATATCGGTAAGTCCAAAATAAATGCTGTTTGACGCCATCAAATCAACTACTACCCCCCGCAGGCGTTAGACACACAAGTTGTAAAAACTTAATTAGATATACTCGTATACCCCGCAGTACACCCTACTCAGAAACATTATCTATCATTTTGTGTTGTTATTCTTCAGTAGATTAAATGAAGTCTAAATTTAGCAGCAAAAACACATGTTAAGCATTAGAATCTCGCAGCAAAAAGAATACCAAATATAATTGCGAATAAAATATGACAAAGAAGGATATATTTCTGGCTTAGGAGCTCATAGGTTAAGTGAAAGATTAAAGACTTAGGATGGATATTGTTTTTTGGTACATTTAAATAAGCAATTCGAGAAAATTACTTTTGCTACCTCTAAACTGAACTCTGAATAAAACTCGTTCGTAATTGTTTAATTCCTGGTTTTTTTTTATATGTCTATTTTTATTAGAAATTCGAATTTCAAGATTTCACATATAAAACGATTTTACTATTTTATTCAATTAGAAATATTTTGTATTATTAGGCAATATTTATTACATAGCAATAAAGAAAAACATTTATAATTTTGGTGATTAAAATATGCTTTTCGCATATTCAGAAATTGTTTTTAAGTATAATACTTTTCTGGGTAATTTTCCAGAAATCAGAGTGATTTTTATTGAGTTGTGTTTTACAGATTAACTAACTAATAGTAAAATCCATATTAATATTGCTTTTAAGTTTCGAAAAACAAGTTTTGCTCAAATGTTGTGTTAAACGTTGACAATTTTGTTATTATTTAGCAGTGAGTAAGATTTTGTACCAGCAAATAAATATGAATCAAGAAAAGAAAGTCGCCGCAGATTTGTTGTTTAAGTTGTTAGAGATATTTTCTCCAGGATTTCCCAAGTATATTTTAAACCTTTTTAATTACAGTCTGGCCACTTTAATTGCCAAATTTAATAGATAGATATAAAAACATGAATCAGGCACTTATGAAATTAGTTTCGCAGCGTGCAATACGAACAAGAAGAGTGTATGTAAAAGGTGGGCCAAGATAATCTCAGAAAACCGAGCTGGAAACAAGTCTCGCGACACAAAGGGGCAACAAGTTAAACCGAATAATTTTGGGGCAGCTGACTGACTGACTAACTAACTAACTAACTAACTAACCAAGTAACTCTGTCGTGCATTTTCAACCATAATAAAATGTTGCCATTGTTGGACACGCGAGAAAATATTCGCAGTAAAGTTTTATGCGATTGTTGCGCCAGTTTTGAAGCCATTTGTCGAACTGCCTGCGACATGCGAGGGCCGCCAACTGCAGATTTATGGCGCCAATGCCCCCACCCGAACAGGAGTCACACTTCCTAGCCCAGAGAGTGAAAAGTCTGAGAACTATATACATATATGTATATGTATGCATGCCTATATATCTGTGCCATATACTAGATGAATTGCTGGCGTGACTTGTCGCCTGTTTGCGAGCTATCGTTTTGCAACTGCATAGTTACAGTATGTATTCGCACACTTACAATGTAATGTGTACATACACTGAGCGAAAGTTTGAGTACTAGACGGTAAATTGAATGGGTTTCCTTATTGGCTCATTTGCATTCAGTCTTCAATTATTTAAAGGAATAACATTTATATTTTTCTTAATAATAATAAATATTTCAGCAAAGTAATAAAAACCTTTTTAGAAATTCTGAAAAAGTAATAAAATCTATCTAAATATTAATAATAATATGAGTAACCAAAATGATATTGTTAGACTTCTGTAAGCCAATAAAAAATAGCTCGGAATTTTAGAGAAAACTGTCACTGGAATTAAGAAAAAAAGGCGTTTAAAATCGAGGGTGATTCTTTGTCTGAGTGTAAGAAGAGACAATTAACAAATAAATTCTATTTTAAAATAGCAAAATCTTGTTGACTTAAGAAAAGTGTGATTCACATTTAGAATTGATTTTAAGTGTATATACATATATTAAAACATGTGTTAAACACAGCCTTTACGTGAGAAATGTACTCCAAAGCCAGCAGTGTACAGCAATATATGTGTATGTATTAGTAGGGTTTAATGTGGCTTACACAAATATGTATATGTGGTCTCGCTAATTGCTATTAATCAGTTGGGGGCTGACGTCAGTTGGCAGCCTCATTCAATCAGCAATTATGTCGTGCACTATTGACCGCAGCAGCGGCGGCAGCTATAGGGAACTATAGCCGGGTCTGGCGAGCTGTTCGATTCCGCTAAAGATCTCGGAATAATACTTGGCTGTCAAACGGGCAAAAGCCACCAACACCAACCACATGACAACTGCTCAAAGCGCAGCGACTTGAATTAGACGCCACAGCTGCCAATTCTAAATTGTAGTTGAGAGACTGCAGAATACACTGCTCAAACTTAGCTGGCGTTGCGCGTATAAGAATCTGAAAATAAAACGAGATGGATTTTTTAATAGTAGAGAGGATCTTAATAAACACATATTAATTATTCCACTAAGCCAGAAGTGATGGATTTTAGAACTCGATAATAAATTAGGCGATTGTCGAATACATTGCTCAAAAGTTGATTACGCTTTGTAAGCACTCACATACTGCAAACATTATTGATTTTTAAACTGCATGTACAAATTCAATACTTTAAAACTGTATAAAAAATTGGCTTCTTTGATTTTTTGTGTTCTAAAATTAGCATAAAGAAATTATTTTTAGCATATTTTTGTAAAAAAATATATAACTCTATTTAATCTAAAACTGTGACTTTCCTCTTTTTGGTTAGATATATAAGTACGTATATAAAAATTGCAATTCTTTTTTCAATTTCAACCAATAAAACCACTTTCTAAGTTATAAACTTTAAAAGTGAGTGAGAAAAGAATAAAAAACGAATGGACCCGTTTCTGCTTCGGAAACAGCATATAAAAACTAGAAATAATGCTCGAGCTCAATGCTATGCAGTCATTTGAAAAACGATTCAACAAAAATTGAAAACAATTTAGCTTATGTCATGTCACATTTGTGGAAGGGAGAGAGGGATACAGACAGAGAGAGAGAGAGAGGGGGGCAGACTAGAAGAGTAAAAGTGCCGCAGAATGCACCCTAATTTGTATTGTGTCATGTTTGATCCGTGTACGTACATTTATACTATATATCTGTAGATATGTGTACATATGTATATATATATATATGTGGACAGACGGCCCTGTGATGTTTATACATGCTTATTCTTTTTGTTTAGCTCAGTAGTTTTAATTATATTTAACGCCGCATTGCAAATTAAAACTGCGCTCGACTCAACTTTTTTACAACAGCATTGCAATTTAATTGCCACAACTGGGCAAATGGAGCTGTAGAGCTAACAAGGACACACAACACTTGAACAGTTTTAATATGACCCATAAACATTTTTATTGTGATTATGGTTTGTGGTTTACCCGTAAATCTAACGAAATTATTACTTTACAATTAACATAGCCTGGTCTGAGACCGATTTTTGTAGTGCCAATTTACTTTTGGCTTAAATGTTTATTACCTAATGTCGAAATTACAAGTTTTTTGACAAAACAAATGAATTAAAACTGCAATTAAACATCCCCAGAAAGTTGTATGCATTTATTCTTATTTTTTATTAACGTCAAATTTTTTATTGTATTTTCAATTTAATTTGATTTATTTTTAACTTTTTGCATTTTTTGTGTCAACTGACATTAGTCGACAACAAAATGCAATTGTTGAATTCTAAGGAATTTATTTTAGATTTACTATTTTTTTTTATTATTATTTATATTATTATTTATTTTCTGATGATTGTCTTATAATTGTTAACATTCAGTTTGAAGTTTAGATTCCGAGCTGCATGCAGAAGGCTATTTTTAAAATAGGAAATCAACTCCCAAATTTGGATTTCACGGATCTGCAGTCCTAAAGCGATGGCCATAGAAATTTACACACTCATATAGATATAAATTGATATATCTAAAGAAATGTATATATTCATAAATATATTCAACGCATACAAATAATGAAGCAATATTATCATTTTAGAGCTTGAGCAATTATATTTCTATGAATGAATTAATAGTGGGTGGGTTGTATATATTTACAGACTGAAAAACAGGAAACAATTCGGATATGCATCTAATGCAAATTTAAGTTCTGGGCACGTATTAGCGTTTAACTGCATATAGTCCCCAATTAAAATAGATTTAACACCATGTTCTATGTCGTCCAGTCATCGCAGACCACGCGATAACAGCTGGAATTAATGTAAATGTGGCAGAATTGAAAAGTGCACGAGCCATGCTAGATAAAACACGTACTAGTTGTCTTTCTAGTCACTGTCGCTTATCGTAATGGACATTAACATGAGGCCTGTCGGCATTAGTTTAAAGCCTCAATCTCGTCCGCGTCCACCCTCAACTTGTGTGCTGGCGACATATGTGGGTCATGTGGAAAGCGGATTGTCGACTGACTGATACATAAAGATAAAACCAAACTAGAGGGACAAGGCATGCAAAAGGGAGAGGAGGAGCGCAGAGTCGCCACGAGTGGATTTATGACACCAAAGCGCAGCGTATATCAATTATGTATTAAATATACATATGTATCTGCTTGCATGCAAGTTAAATTGGCCAAAAATCAAGCAAAACTGAGTGAGTTTTAATAATTGATCAAGCTGGGGCGCATCTGCAGATAGGCTCGTCAAGTGGGGCAAGCTTGTTGGATGAGGAAAACGCAAATACGAAAAAAAAAAACTAAAAAGGAAGCGTGTGAAATCCCATTTGGCTAATGGCCAACGGCGTTGAGAGAATCGTCGCAGAACAGGAAATCAACCTGTTTACCCCAATCTCGAAACACGAAACCCGAAACCCAAAGCTCCGAAAATCTGCTGCTGCTGGTCGTGACTCAACTACAACTTCAACTGGCTGCGGAGAGCGGGTCGGGAAAACTCGATTCTCGTTGAGCGGTTCGCGTTTCGCATTCCGCGTTTTCCGCGGAAAACAAAAGTAGGGCACAAGTACGAGCACATTTTACAAATGTCTGCAATAAAAACCAAAAAGAGAATCAAGCAAGATTTGCCAAGTTGAGGGTGAATGACTAAGAGATGACCTGTTCCTATTTTTAGTCTGCTGTAAGAATAATATTAAATTATTTTATTTATTTAAGAAAGTGAATTCTAAACATACTGACAAATTATAAATTATAAATTATAAAATCAAACAAATGATAAATAAAAATTTCAAATATTTGTTAAGCTGACATTTTTTTACAAAAATTAAATAGTCAAATTTATAGCTTTGAAAATAAGATTTGTTCTGAATTTGTAGAGAGCGGTTGGCGTGTAATTAAAAGATTAAAATAAACTTAATGTACTTGTACTATAAAACTTCTTACATACCACATTTAATGTTTCTACACTATTAAAAAAACATTTCTTTGGATCTTCCCAAAATAATAATCGCCCTGCAAACTAGAAAATTTTCCTTGTTTTGCAATTCATTTCAAAATGTACAAAAAAACAATTCATAAAATAAGAAAGGATTTTTTTCTTCAATTCTTAATAATATAAATGCATTTTTTATTAGAATAATCCCATGTGAATTCTAAAAATTGTAATGAAATCTATTTTCTTGGCTGCTGTTTATCAATCTAAAATATTTATATATGTGAAAGCTGCAAATACTAATACTGATATGAAATAATATAAATATAATAATTTATAAGTAACCAATTCGCTATTGTTAGACTTCGGTCTAGAAATATTAATATTAATTATTAATTAAGAATGAAAAAACAAAACCAAATATATATAAATTATTATATATATATATATATATACAATAAAAATAAAACTACGAAAATCATGCTGATGTTTAAAATTCAAAGCGATTTTTTTTGTGTTGTGTGTTGCAAATGAATATTTATCAAATTGTGCAATCATCTGGAACTTATTAAAAAAAACTAACGAAAATTTGTTCAAGCTTTTTTTTAGAGACTCCGAGCGAGACTGTCCGACTAGATCAAGAATATATACACATTTGAAGATCTCAAATTGGCCTCCTTCCAAGCGTTACATACATGCACATATTTATGATAATCCCTGTGTGCACTTGGAAAGGTTACAGGGTATGCCAAGTAGAAAACTGGTTTATTAATTCTGGCTGTTGTTGAGTGTGCCTCATGACACGTTGGCCTGATTGCTAGCTTTTGCGCGATGCGTCGCGCCTATTTCCACTTGCCAATTGCCACATGCCACTTGCCACTTGCCTTCAGCTGCAGGCTCATCATCGTCAAAAGCAGCAGCAGGACATTATACAATACAGTCATTTCCAGGCAGTGCTTGCTCTTCCAGCCGCGGGGGTTGCTGCTGCTGCGTGTGCACACAGGGTGTGTCATGTTTTTTGGGCACCCCCGCAAAAAAAGCATGTAAAAGCATTCAGAAACATGCGAGGACGTTTTGAGGGTTGCCACAGCGATTGCCGATGTGTGTGCGTGGGTGTGTGTGTGTGTGTGTGTGTGTGTGTGTAAGTTCGCTTATTTGTTTGTTGCCATAAAAGTCAAACAGGATGGCGACCCACAGATTGGGTGGCTTGGGCGGTGCTATAAGCTCAAGCCTGGCCATTTGGGGGTAGCTACTAGCTACTAGCTACTGCTACTTTGCCAAGCGATGATATCAGCAGAAAGTTGTCGGTGATACGCTAAAATCGATTGGCAGCCTCTTTTCACAGCTGGCTGCCAATATAATGAAGTCACATTTCACAATATGCACTAAGCACAAAATCAATATGCTGTCTTTTGATTGCGTATACGCCGTGTTGCCAAATTGCAAAAAACTGTATGCATGGGACGTTAATTCAAATTGATTTTTGGATGATGGCAGCAGCTGGCATGCAACTAAAACTCATTTGAAATGTTATCAAATTAATGCATTAATTAAAAACATTGGAGATGAGCAGACTTAGAATTCACGTCATTCTTTGGAGAGGACACTGTAGACTAAGAAGTCAGCAGCGGAATGTGGCAGTAAAAAGGATTTCTCAAAACACATCACAGCGGATTGCGTCGCCTTAGCCACGGAAAGCTGTAGTATCCTAGGGAAAACCTTAGCCGGAAAATGGCTCTCGTACTCGTGCCGGAATCAAGGTTTATTCATAATGATAATATGTTTAGAAGGGGGCGCACTCAATCTAATAATAATAATAATAACAATGCATAAAGTATTTTAGAAGTATTTAGAAGCTTTTCGGGTATTAAATTAAATTCAATTCAATACAATTTTTAGTTGATTTCAATGAAGAAGAAGTAAAATATAAAATATAAATATACAATCAGCCAGGAACATTTTTAAAGTTAATTATTCCAAGAATCAGAGTTTTTCTTTTCTTAATTCCAAAGTAGATTTTTCTAAGATATCACTTATAAATATTTTAGATAGTTTATAAATAGCATTACAAATCTAGAAATAAATTTTAATAAAAATAGGAATTTGTATTTTTACTTTTTATAAATATTTTCAATTATTTAGAAATATATTTCTGAGCAAAATACCTTACTAATTAAAGAAACAAATTTTCTGTATATTTTAAAGTTATTTCAATAAGCAAGAAAAGTTTATAGTTTCTGAGCGAATTTTTACTGATTACAGCTGCTTGTAATTTGTATTAAATTCAAATTTACTGATTTTTCTTCATTGCTTTCGGCTCATCTTATTGTAATCGATTTGCTTCTTTGCTATAAATAAACTCTTTTGATTGGCATTGGCTAATTGAATTGTACTGATTCGGTGAGTTTATTTTGAGCTGCATGCATAAATCGCGATTGCCCATTGATATGCACAGAAATCAGCATATTTGTGTGAAACTGAAATGTATGTAGGCAAAATCGGTTTTACGCAAAGAACTCAGACAGAACGGCAACAAAAAACATAGTGACCCATATAGTAGTAGGAAATCGGCGATTCGTATTATTATTTGTGATTCCGCTTGATCGTGTGACAATCATTTGAAATTCAAATTGCAACACAGACGTCACAGATGCGAAGAACCGAGTAAACATATATATATATATACATATGTCGTTGATATTCTTCTCGACTTTTTTTTTCCAATTTTCGGCAATTTTTTCAGGTATCATTGCGCTTTGGTCGTTGGGTTCAAGAACCTGCAGATTTATGCACCAACATTGTGGGAACAAATGTGCGAATCCGAGCGGAAATCAAAAATATTTGTTGCACACTTTTGTGGCTCGATGCGAATTCACAATGATTGTTCAAAGTTCAATTGATGTGTGGCAAATACATTTGAATATTCAAGAGTATTAAATGAAAATTCATTCAATTGAATGTAGTTTCATTTACAATTATGAGCTCATTTATTTTGCTTAATTTTCAACTGATTGAATAAAGTAATTTACTAAATTCATAAAAACGAAATGCAAACCTGGGAGCAACAGCAAATTGTGCGAACTCTCGCAAGGAGTCTTTAAATTGTACTCTAAAAATTACACTTAGGATTACAGAATATTTTTCCAGTTAGATACAATATTCATAACTGATTAGAGCTTATTAGTATTTTTGAAGACTAAACTCTCAATAGTAAAAACTAAAAACTAAAAACTAAACTCTAATCACATTTATATAAAGACCAAACTCTAACATACATTTAAATGTGTCTGACTCAAATAACAAAAGTCGAAGCTAATCTTTTCGCTCAATTACCCATTGTCACTTTTTACTGATTTTGTTAACAAAGGATTTTCTGTAAAATTGATTTCGGTTTCCGCCTTCCGTTTTTGTGAACAATGAATAACACTTTAACACTTCAACCGTTTTCTGCGTTTTATTTAGAGCTTCCTAATGGATTTCCTCGCAAATTGAAACCTGTTTCCCTTTATGATGACAATAGCAACAGAATCCTGTTACAAGATTTCTTATTCCCACTTTTTGAAAAGTTTCTTAAAGGGTTTCGTTAACAACGTTTTGTGTTTGTTTGTTTTTTTTTTTTAGATACTCTTTTATTTGTCAGCTGTCGTTAATTATTCTTATTTGTTTACGAAACGTTGAGTTTCAATTAAACTGCGAGTGTTCAATCCCTTCAAGGCATTAATTAAGTGATTTGATATGCCGCACGGCCATCAAAACAGGCGTCTAATTATTCAACCAATCATATTATTAACCCTCCCGATTTTATTGTCTCAATTAGACATTAATTGCTGTGCCGAGTGGGCCATATAAATACTGGAATCCTTTGGAGCAATGCCAGTTTGTAGGTCGCAATGTATCCGCAGTATCTGAGCCGCAACTATCCGCTGGAGAAGCATCTGTTCTTTGTGACCAGGTATTCCTTTGGTCTGCTCGGACTGCGCTTTGAGCTGGCTCCAACCTTTTGGAGCATGACGTGGCTGGTCTTCAACTTTGTGAATCTGGCACACTGCTGCCAGGCCGAGTTCAGCTTTGGCTGGCATTACATTCGCAGCAGTCCGGTGGATGCCATGGATGCATTCTGTCCACTCGCCTGCAGCCTAACGACACTGTTCAAGATGGCCTGCATGTGGCGGAGTCGCTCCGAGGTGGCCTCCCTCATGCAACGCATTCGCCAGCTGACGGAGCAGCAGCGCCATGGCGAGCGGGTGCAGCTGAAGAGAAGCTATTATCGCATTGCCACCTTGGTGTGCATGCTAATCTTTACGCTCGGCTGCATCAATACGGGTGCCTTTGTGCTGCGTTCGCTCTGGGAAATGTGGATGCGTCGCGATCTACCTTTTAAATACGATATGCCCTTCAGAATGTTGTAAGTTTACACTCGATACCTGCCTGCAGAGATAAGCCAAATTGAGGACACATACTACAGACTATATTTATTCTATACTCTATTTCATCTCTACTCTACACTCTATATTCAATGTTATTTACTCAATGTATTCTATACTCTATACTCGACTGGAAGCTTTCCGTCCATTGCACATCGCTTTCCCATGTATCCCTTGGCCTATATCTACTCCACCTGGAGTGGCCAGGTTACAGTCTATGCCTTTGTTGCCACCGATGGTTTCTTCTTCAGTTTCACGCTCTACATTACGTTCCTGCTCAAAGCGTTGCAAATGGATATACAGCGTGTCCTGAGACCAGTAAAAGGTGAACTCAAATCCAATTTCAATACTCCATTGATTGCTTCAGGTGATTCCCAGCGCAGATCCAAGTCCACGGGAGTGCGAGAAGTGCTGCCAGCAGCTAAGGAATATCATCGATCGCCACAACGATATTGTGGGCATTGTTCAACGCTTCTCTGTGATCATGGCCACGCCCACTTTTGTACAGTTTTTATCGTCTAGCTTGGTGATAGCCACCAGTGTCATCGATATACTTTTGGTGAGCATTTGCCAGGTGGCAATTTTTAAAAATAGACTTTTTCAATAACCCTTGTAGAGGATATTAGCATTAATTCGAGAAGTTGGCAACGCATTGAAGCTGACCCTATAAACTATATATATTCTTGATCAGCATCACTAGCCGAGTCGATATAGCCATCTCCGTCTGTCTGTCTGTTTTTATGTAGACGAGTCACTCAACTTTGAAGTTCTCATTATGAACTATCCCTCCAAAACAAAATTATTACAAAATTATTACAATTATAAAAAGGACATAGGATGTGTGCTTGTATGAAATACTTTGTTGTTAACAATTTAAGCTAACTTAATTCAACAGCTAAGCGCTTTATTATCACTTTGGCAAACAACTGTTGGCCTCGAACTAATTGCATACAGTTATTTGAAAGAATCGATTGGTTATCTTAAAATTTGTAGTAAAATTCACATGGCTGCAATTTG